TTGCATGTCATGAAATCCAAACGGAAGAATGTGAGAATTTAACATGGGTAGCCTGGGCCCTACCAGTGTGTGTGCGGTGATTTGGCCCGGGGGTGCATAAATCGGTAGAGGCTTGTTGCTGCAGTTATATACCTCACAGTGCATGAAAATTGGAAATTTACTGTATCTATCATCCTTTCCGACAAGCTGACAGCTCGAATATTAATTAATACCATGAACTCGTAGACTATAGTATATGCTTCCAGATGCCCTCGAGTGGAAGATACCAAGTGCTAAGCGCCCTCAATAATTTGGGACCGGGGGAAATTATTAAGCACCAGCCACCACTCGCGACAATGAAGTTTGTCCGATGCCTTGGAGCGCTGAATAATGGAGTCGTCAGACGAGTTAGAGTAACCACATGTCAATAACACTTTCAGGAGGATTAGGAGAAGAAACGACACACTGTGTTTGGAGAGCAGTCGAAAATTCGAGACATACAGTATCTCCGAGAGGACACATCACTCTAAAATGCGGTGTGTGACCTTTATTGAATCAAGATCACAATTCTGAGTATCGTGCCGACAAATCGTCACCAGCGCACCATCAAAGATCTAACGGATTCGCGGCTAAGTCAGCAGAGACGTCAAAATGCAAAGCCGTCGCGCGTCATGATCGATACCTCACATCGGGAACTCAACGAACGAAAGCTAGGCCCGCAAACAGTACCCGAACTAGAAAAGGTATAGGACTGAGCCACGAAGATATTTTAGGGAACAAAGCAAAGCATGAGGATAGCGTTCCTATAAGATTTCCGCTACACCGAGCGCACCGGGTTCAGACCTTCCAGCCACCAGTGAGACCCATGACATTCTGCGGGTCGACCCTCTCCTTCGTCGCGCGCATCCTGGGCAGGCTATCTCCGAAAATCTGCTCGACCGGTGTGCCCGCGACTGCGTAGTTGCCGTAAACAGGCGCGTCGGCGATGTCCTGGCCCTCTGCGATAGCGACAGCCTTGAGTTGCGCCGCGCTCTGCACCGCGGCAGCCTGCGCGATTGCGTCATCCTCGGGGAGGCCCCACGCGTAGTAGATGTTGAGCGGGAGCAAGCCCTGGGCGCGTGTCGGCGGGTAGGCGGAGGCTTGCACCGAGCCGTGCGTGAAGAGCGTCGTGAGGAAGGGTTCGACGTCGTAGGAGATGAAGGTGGCAGAGTTCAGCGCGAGCTCCTCTGACCAGAACTGCATCTTGTGTTAGCTGACGTGGTACATCAAGGGAGTAAACGGCATACCTGGGTCTCGTTGACAACCGCCTCGAGCAGCCCCGTCGTGAGTGTCGTAAGCGATATGGTGTTGAAGACGGCACTGCGGGGTAAAGATAAGACAGCTTGCTTTGCAATTGACGGTTCATGCTCACCGAGTGCTGGCAGTCGCGTTAGAGGGCGATGACTGCACAAGAGACAGGAAGGAGCGAGTGCTGATGTCCTTTTCGATCGCAGGAAGTGCGAGATAGTCATCGAAAATCCCGACCGGCTGCTCGGGCCCGTCATAGAACATAAGGACAGAGGCTGCAGGCTGCTCGAATATCTGGATGAATAAAGGCTATTGCCAAATGGGTGGAGCGGAAAACACAGACCAGTCCAATGACCAAATTGTATGTTGGCAGGACTTGCGCCTTAGGGTCTGTGACCTCAGCTTGGAACTTTGCAGTGGCATTGTTAAGGGCGTCCCACTGGTCGCCGGCAACGACCAAGATACCCCCCTAAGGCAATGGAGTGAGCGAAGAGGATATGATGTTGACCGCGAGAGATGTCATACCCAGACTTGACCTTGGGGATAGGCCTTGGCTGTGATCCGTGTAACGATGCCCTAAGCTCGGTTAAGACATCGTATAGTTAACAAGATGCCATAAGGCACTCACAAAGTTATTGTATCCGCCCTGTATCGCCTGTGGTAAGCCCGCGCTTCCACTTCAGTGGCCGGATAACACTCACTTTCACGCTGAAGAAGAGATCTGCGTCGCTCGCCTCGGTCACGTTCGTAACCTGTCCATTAGGTAGGACAATTTCGAAGCCGACAATGTTGTCGACCGTGAGCCCATACTGGTTAGTCAGCCAGGAGTATCCTAAAATGTAGATGGCCTGTCAGATAGGCTTTTTGGTCGATGCGCGCCACAACGGACCTCCACCAGTGCTGAAACCGCCGACGCCGACGCCTGTGACACGGCCTCCGACGACATTCACGCCGTACGGCTCAAGCGCAGCATAAACATCGTCCCAGATGAGGCCCATGCCGTAGTCGACTGTCTGTGATGCGTTGTTGTAGACGACGTCGCTGAAGCGGGACATCGCGATCTGCACGCCGGTTGTGGAGGAGAAACCGGCGTTGGTAGCGTGACCACCTCCCTTGACCTGCGGAGACGCACGTCAGAGGTAAAGAATGTCAGGAACAGTAACAAACACCTACGGCAAAGGTAGTGTTGGTGCTCCCGAGGATTTGCAGCTGTTTAACAAAACGTCAGTGGTGAGATGACATTGCAGACACGCGTCTCACAATTTGTCCTACGTCCTCTGCAGTTCCTGGTTCAACAGAGCACGTAGCAATAGCATTGCTAGATGTAGCCCAATGGCTGACGTCCTCGGTGTACTGGATGGTCCCTAACAACGACCAACGTCAGTCGGCATGGGATGAAGCAGCAGTGCAACGCTCACCTGGCCAGAAGACAGCGGAGGCGGAGGATACAGCCTGAGCGATCTGGTTACAGGCATTCACTGCTGATGTAGTGGCATTAGCGTCGGCCTTCGCGAGGGCGAGTCCAGAGAGTAGGGCAGCAACAGTCGAGCGGCGCATGGTCAGCGATTAGGACACCCGAAGAGCAGACAGGCACGCCTGAAGAGCCCGCCCAAAGTTTTATATGTGGTCAACTAGGCAGTCAAGCCGACCATCACACGATT